TGCACTGGGCAGGATAGGAAGGACCAAAGGTCTCGGAAAAGAAATGTCTGGAGCTGCTTTCCAAAGCTGTTGTATAGTGTCTAGGGCCCTCGACGTGGCCATGGGCAACATTTGGCTAACAAAAAGTCCAAAAAGGGAAATTAAACGTGTAGCTCTTCCAAGAAAATGAAATCCCCTGTACACGTATTCTTCCCCACTGGCACAGACGTGTTTCCATCTCGCTCTCTCTGCCAAAAGTTCATGAATTTAATCCCTTTGCTGTTGAACTTCCCCAGCCAGCAAGGGGCAGAGTGGGAGGCTGGTTGGCTGAGCTCCAGATGGGTGACAGGCAGGGCACATGTTTGATATTGCAGTTGCTTGGACCGGATAAAGTCAATTCTTTGCTGCCAACTCAGTCTCTCTGCTCTTGTTAATCAATCAAATGAATTTTGTCTCCAAAGTGAGGCCTTTCTCAGGTGACCTACAGGTAAACCTAAGTGACCTTTACTCCCAGCTTACCCACTTCAGCTGACTGCCAGCTTGATTCTGACCATCAGTCATTGACTTTTGGCTCATGGTTGTCATTGCTTTAGAGCTATTTTTTTCTCCCCCACAAAAACTGACTTATAGCAACTCTCTTTCAGCAGCATCCTAGAACCAGCTGAGCACTGTGGATTTTAGCAGTGAAGTAGGTGGGCATGATCAGCATTAGGCTTTTATGCCTGTGTGGTTGACTTTGCCTGTCTGGCTCAGAATGCACACTGGTAGACCATGGCTGTCTTGACAGGAGTTTTCAGTAGGATCGCAAAAGGGGCATTAGTCAAATTTTTGATAAAATGTACCTGAAATTTTTTTTTTTGACTATGCAGACTTGGTATTTGCATGCTGGAGCAAAACTTGTTTTGTGCTTGTAGTAGTGTTTATGAAGCTGCTAATTAAACTGAGTTAATTGGAGATTCATTCTCTTCTGTAAATAAAAAAAATAAGACCTTAAACTCTAGTCTAGAGAACTTGAAGGGGCAAGCCTAGCAGGCTCAGAGAAGGGCCAGCAGCCACCAGTTCCTAAGGTCTCTTCCTAGCTCTGGCACTGATGCTCTGCGTGGACGTGGCTGACTTGCATCCCTCTGAGTAACCTTCCCCTTTTTGTGGTCACACTTTTGGGGCAGTCTTTCTTGGGTTCCTGCAGAATTTGCACATAAAACTGCATATTCAGAATGCTTTGATTGTGGGTCTTTTTTCCCACACATCTTGCTGACATGTGCAGAGCCCAAAGTCAGGCAGGTAACGTGGTGTGTCTATGTCAGCCTTGTGGGAAGGGTTCAGGGGTGTCTGTGAGACTGTCCTCACTGTACCCTCTGCTAACCAACCATTTTCTCAGGAGAACTCTGGAAACCTTCCCCAGTCTGTGTTTAGGAGCTGTTTGCCTTCCACTGGGCTCTGTGCAAGCGCAGAGGAAATGGGCTTCTCCAAGCCCACTGTAAATTAATTAAATTCATGCTGGGGATTTGCCATCCTAGCTGGTGGGATCTCTTTCTACCTCGGTGCTTGTTTGCTAGCCGTTATATTGCTAGCTTCCTTGTGGAGACCGTTACTAAATTGATCAGAAATTAAACAATGGATAAAGCAAGCAAGACTTAATCTGCTGTCTGCTAAGTGTCAACACAGTTTAGCTGGCTTCCCGGAGTGGCTTAATAATAGACAGGGAGGAGGGTGCCTCATGTCTGGGGCTCGTATCTTCCCTTCCCACCTCAGAGCATTTCATTAAAACACTCAGCATAAAGCAGCTCACTCCTTTTTATTTTCATTGCCTGCTGCTTGCTTTTCCTTCCATGTCTTTGTGAAACAATTTTTATTTTCCCTTGTGCTATCAGGCAGTGGTGCTGGGCCAGCCCCAGCAGCGCTGCGGGGTGGCAGTGGCGGTGGTGGCAGGGGTGGTGGTGGTCAGCCTCCGCAGCCCGGCAGAGAAGCCTCATGCCCGTGGGTGATGCCCTGCAGCCTCTGCAGCGCTGAGCGTCTGCAAAAGCCCAGGTGCCGTGTTTTAGTGAGGTCCGCTCCAGAAAGCGTTGCGTAGCCCCTGTGCCCCTCTGCTCACGCCCTGCACCCTCATGCAGACCCAGAGCTAACACCGCAGCAGATGGAGGGATGGGGCATTTCTGGCACCTCCAAAGCCACGTGCTTTCGCCCCAGGGCAAGCAGGCAAACCAGCTCCCAGGCATTCACTGATGCTGGCAGGTTGCTGTTTTTGAGAGGTTTATGGGATTTGCCCCAGAGCCTTGAAAATAACGGAAACTACCTAGATAATCTTGAGGGAATCCCAAGATGATGTTCCCGAGGAGCTGGAGCAGACAGATTTAATGAAGTATCTGCAAAGAGACAAGGTATGCATTCTGGGAGAAAAGCGATCTGAGGTCATGGTGTTGGCCTGTGCCCAGCTTGGTTGTGGTGGGGAGCTGCTCTGGCTTCCTTTCAGCTCTACCAGATCTCCACCGCCACGGTAGGAGCTTCTTTACAGCCTGAGGCCACTCTCGCTTCGCTCCCTCCCGCTGTGCCCTCCAGGGCCCTGGCACAGTGGAGGATTCCTGCCCTTTGCATATGTGCCTGAGCTGGGCCATGTCCTTTCATGCCCCTCACTTTAGTTCACTGGGGCTGGTTTCGTGCCTGACTGTAGTGGGGCTTTGAGCCTTCGTTACCGCGTTGCACCACCTCTTCCCCACTCTCCACCTCCCCAGCACATGCGCTCCCCATGCTTTGCCAGTGCTGCATCTTGCCGGAGCAGAGGCATCACAAGCTGGGCTGAGCGCATACTCAGATGTGAAGTGGAAACAATTTGCAGTCAGGCCTGTGGAGCCAAAAATGGCCTTGGCATTAAACCCACTGGGTCACTAAGTCATATGCCTTTGATCTTCTTGCCTGAAGATATTTGTAGTGTTCTTATTCCTTGACATTTATAATCTGAAATCAGAATGATCTTAGGGTTTGATGGTGACTTTGGAGTGAGGCTCTTGAGAATAAAAGGCTGAGCTTGTTTTAGCTTAAGGAGTAAAGAGAGTCACTTTGTGTTTAAGCTGGAGAACCCTGTCAGTACCAGAGAGGGTTAACAGCGTGCCCCGGCATGGCCGGAAGAGCTTGGCCCAAGCTGCTGCTCCGCGGAGGCAGCTGCAGAGGTCACAGCTGCCTTCCAGCACCATGAATGGGGCTAACTTACAGCCAAGGACAAAAACATCAAAAAGCAGAGGAAGTGCCCTCTGGAACGCATGGCAAATGAGACTTGAAAGACACCGGCATCCAAGTGGATCGCAGCAGTGTGCAGGGGTGCCGTGAGTGGCGGGAGACAGGCATCCTTTGATGCTGTGGCTGCTGTTGTGGGAGAGTAAACATAGATCACTGGAGTAGCTGCAAGTATGTGTAGGTTTGGCCAGAATGTCCCAGTACCTGTATTGAAGGAGCAGAGCGTCTTTCTGATTAATACACTTGCAAAATCCCCTCTGGCATGCAATCAAACACATGTGCCACTAGTGTGCTAGAGCTGTTTAAACTCCTGGGTCACGATGCCAAAGGCTCATATGATTAAATTCTTGTGCTTGGGTAAAGGAGATGCGAGGTGTCCATCAGACCTTTTCTCCAGCCAGAGGGTGCAGCTTTGTGAACCTGCCCTGGACTGTGTGCTCCACTGGGAATAAGCTTGGAGCTGCCTCAGGCTCCACATACCCATTTGATCCTTTGATCCCCAGCTGTTTGGTGGCAGGTGGCAGTGCCCAACAGGAGCTCTTAGACAGAAAAAAAATTGCAGCTAGAGTAGGAAGCCAGAACCAGAGACAAGCTTCTCCTGTTTTTTTGCAGGAGGCTGATGACCCTGAACACATGTGCCTCCATGAAGCTGGAAGTCCACTTTCAGCGTAAACAGGTAAGTCCCGGGCTTTCAAGGGCAGGCCAGGGACTGAGGGGCATGGGGGGGAATGTGTGCAAACTGGTGGAGCAACAAACCTGTTTTCATTAATAACATCAGTAATATTCTAGGACTGACCCTATACTGGTGCACAAAACAACACCCAGTTCTCTCTTCTCTGCCCCAGGCACTGCTGTTGGTTTTCTTTTTTCATCCTCTCCCAGGAAGGACATGACCCAGGAACTGCCTGGTCGAATCAGGAGGCTGCGCTCTCCTGCCATGTACAGTGGTGCCCCGTGCCGTGCCCCCGGCGCTGTACCCCGTGGGTGCTGCCTGGCAAGCGGCGGTTAAACAAGCTAGTTAGTTTGCTCTGGCTAAAGCAGTCACGACAGTCTCCTCGGTGGAGTGGGATGTTGAACAGCCTGCAAGACGGGGTAGGCAAGGTGTCGGCAAGAAAAAACTCAGCAGCCACAGGGGCTGCCTTCTGCTGCTGGCCCAGCGGTGCCGAGGACGGGAGTCGGCTCCCTGGAGTCACAACTGGAAGTGTCGGGTGGGTGGACTGTCCTGGAGGCTGCCGGGTGGCCGAACCCGTAAGCTGTAGGTCTCTGTTGAGTTGAGTCGAGATTGTCGAGAGCCCCGCTCCGGCAGGTCTCTGCGGATGTGGAGCCCTGGTGGCTCTTTCTTGATCCTCCTTCACCATTGCATTCACGGTGTCAGTGGGAAGTTTCCTTGGGCAGGGGTGCTTTCTGTTGTGTTTATTCCTTTCCCTTCAGAGTCTTTTGCTTAGTGTTCTGCATCCCCAGTGGAAAGCGCTTTGTGTCAGAGGTCCCATGTCATGTTTGAACGCAATGTTGTGAAAGCAGTATGAGCTCGTGAGTACCGTGGAGGTAAAGGGATGCTTCAGCATGAGCTCAGTGGGGCTGTCCTTGGCCCATGATCCCAGGTGAGCTCCCGTCTCTGTGAAATGCGATGCAGAGCTCTCGTGCTGCAGAGAGGGAGTACAGTGCTGCGCGGTTAAATATGAGCTGCAAGGGGATTTCCGTAAGCAGATCTCTGGCAGGATGGATTCATGAGGAAACTTAACCCCAAAGGGGGCTCTTCCACAGGGAGAAATAAAACCAGCCCATGTGTCGCAAACAATAAAGCACAAGTCTCAGTGTTGTTTACTGCGGGCTTTGCGTGCTCCACATCCCACCTGTGTGCTGTGGCAGCTGGAGGACCAGGACCTCCAAGCCAAGGGCTCCCACCTGTCCAGCAAAATTGCAGGAAGGTTGCCGTGTGGGGATATTGTTCCTGTGTCCGGATCTCCTTCTCCAGAGCACAAACAAGCAAAGGGGGAAGGGGACCAAGGCCCACTGGCTGGCTGAGTGTAAAGCTGTTTATGCTTCAGCTATTGCAACAGCTCCAGGGTAGTGGGGTTTAAAATAGAAATGCCAAAGATAGAGGAGATAGTTGCTAGGACGGTTGTTTGGGGCAGATTGAGCTGATGCTGTGAGTCAGGCAGAATGCTCTGCAAGTTATCAGATCACAGTCAGTAGCTGAAAGCGTGGCACTTCACTGTGGGCGCAGGGTGGAATGAGATCAAAAGTCAAAGCCATAGATTTTAGCAGCGGTTTATTGCTTTTCATTTCTTCTTTGGAAGGCATTGAAGCTTTTAACACCAGCCAGTGTCTCTCTCCACAGGTAGAGCTACTTGGTCACTATTCTATTATTCTTTTTCTCCATTTTTATTCATCATTGTTTTCAGGAAATTGTGACTGTGGAGGGGAAAGAGCTTTTGGTCTGAATTTTTGGTGTCTGCATGCTCCTCTTCTTTCACCCTACCCTTCCAGTTTGGATCAGCTCTTACAGTCATTTTCCTATTCTAGCAGGCCTTAGCATTCAAAGTCCAGGGAAACATTGGACAAATGGCTGTGAGATTTAGACTGTCCAAAGCAAGTAGCCTGATATTTTGGATACCTTCTCATGATCATACTTCTTTCTTGAAGAAGCAGCTGTTCTATGGAGATTCCTTAATGGGAAGCTGATGGACTCTGTTTTGGCATAAACATCTATTGGCATATTAATAACAAACTTTTCATATTTCCCTTAATGAATAATACATGTAAAATGTACCCCAGTTTGGTATTAAGCATATGGAAATCATTATGTGGATGTATTCCTACTTGTTCCAACTGCCCTTATTCTGGTTTGGGAAATCATGCTGTGTTGAATGCCCATATCCTTTACTCTGCTTCGGTTCATAACTGGATGTTTCTGAGGAAGGGATCAGAAGAGAAATAGCTAACCACAACATAGGTTTAATGTGTCATTGCTGGGTGTCAGGGTGAGCATCCCTGTGAGATGAATGCAGGGAGTATCCCAGCTTTCCCATATCTGTTGTTTCTTCTCTGTCCACAGAAAGTATCATCTCAGGAAGGACCTAGTCAGTCTGCTTAACTCCATCCACTCCTTCCTTGTCACTGCTAGGACATAGCAGTTCATGCAAAAGTTTAGAGTCAGTCTCACCCTCCAGAAGGACGACTTGGCTGGATCTGGGAGTTCTCTCTTGGATCTTAGAAGCCACGGGCTTGAATCATAATTCAGGAACACTTTTGATATGAAGAGATCTATCAGAAGCAAAAGCGTCCCCATCTGCCCACCGTCTCCTAGCTGGGTCTGTTCCTCTGGACACTACCTTTTGCTCTGGGCAGCCCTGGAGCCTGGCTGCACAGGGGTGACCAGGCTGGGTCATGAGTCTCGAAGGTTTCTGCTGGCTCACATGGCCAGTGTGCCATCTGTCTGGGTACAAGAGCAAGACATGTCATCCTGTTATAAATACAAGGAGTTACTGCTTTTCTGTTCCTGTGAGACGTTCAGAATTAGCATGGAAATAGCATCTTCCCTTCCCCAGAACAATATAGCCTCGGCATGTGGGCAAAGTACTTGGCTGCTTAGCCTCTCCTTTATGGAAAGCAATCAGAGAGATTGTTGAGTCATTTAACGGGTCGTGCACAAGACTTCACTTTCTCCATTCAAAGCTGTGCTGAGGGCCATGCTTTCAGGTTGAGTATCTATCCCTGACAAGTGGTGAGGGAGGATGATTGACTGACTCCATTGGTCTGATTCTTCCCTGTTTTTGGTTACCCTCAGAATGAAGACTCTGAGGAGGAAGATCTGTGCGCCATCAGTGACCGGTGGGCTTTTCAGAGGGAAAGTAAGAGGTGGTCCAGAGTGGGATCTGTCGATGTCCTCTCCCAAGGCTCGGAAGTCCTGAATTCCACCATGAGGCAGACATCCAGCCGCGAAAGCATCCTCACAGACCTGAGCACCAACCTGGAGGCTGTGTCCCTCCACAGCAATGCCAGCACAGGCAGCACAGGTGGCACGCTCAGCATCGTAGTCACACCACCCGACCCGTCCCCTATACGGGACACTGCCACCGTTGCCAAATCCAGCCAAAGTTTGAGTGACCATTCCTTGACAGAACAACCCTCAAACCAGAGTGAGGGCTCTAAGGAGAAACCTAGGAAGCGAAGGTCTCGCAGCTTCTTAAAAAGGATTGAGTCCCTCCGAAGGAAAGACAAAGAAAAAGCCAGCTCAGAAGAGAAGGATGCCCCAAACAATGGTGTTACGACCAAGCCAGGATGGGACTCTGTGAAGCATACTGAGGACCCTACAGCCACCAAGGCCAACTGCCCTAAAAGAGGAATATCTGCTTCTTTCCATGGCAAAAAACACTTCTTTTCAGTATCGTATAGGACTAACCGCTTGTTAGGCTCAGGAGGGAGCAAGGTGAGCTCTGACTCGAAACGTGGTGGAGTTTACCTAGAGGACTTTGAAACAGCTGTGAAAAACAGCAACAACTGGGCTGCTGGAGAATACCCACACCGGCAGGTGTGCAAAGGGGATTGCTTGATCTACATTCCCAGAGACCACAAGCCAGGCACTTTCCCCAAATCCCTCTCCATTGAGAGCTTGTGTCCTTTGGGTGGCAGCTCCTTGACCAACTGGAAATCTGGGAACAAATCTGTTGGGCTGGTGGGAGGTGGAGGGGGTGGCAGCAGCAGCAGCATGGAGGACTCATCCTCCCCGCGGGGCTTTGAGTACCGGCAGCGGAGGGGTTCATGCAGCTCCTTGGGCAGCCGGGTGAGTGTGTATGACAACGTGCCAGAGTTTGGCAGTGGCGAGGATTTCTCCAAGGTGGATGGGGAGGTGACCTATGAGAACCTTGACGACATACTGCAACACATGTGGGGCCTGCAGCAAAAAGTGGAGCTCTGGTATAAAGCCATTTCCCCAGACCTGGTTGGGGAGGAAGGGGGTGAGGAGGACGAGGAGGAGGAAGAGACAGACTCAGGAGGGGAACCCACTTTCCCTTCAAACCTGCACTTGGAAGAGCAGTCCATGTCTGATGTTGGCACATCTGCCAGTGATTTTGACAGCACGGGCAACTCTTTGAATGAGGCCGAGGAGACTGAGATGCGGGAGCGCCGGGACTCTGGCGTGGGAGCATCACTCACCAGGCCGTGTAGGTAAGCAGGGCTGCGGGGCTCTGGGCCACGTCACTCCTGCAGCATCTCCATGCCTGGTGAAAGTGTCTCAGGAGCAGCCGGTGGGTGGGAAGAGCTCATTCCTCTAAAGGCAGTGTTGGGTAGAGGTCACTCCTGGAGCTGATGGAGCACGCTGCTGGCCTCGGGCAGTGCAAGCCTTTCCTATGGCTCTTCTGCCCTTAGGATTCAGGGTCCTTGATTTTGGGGGAACAGCACTGTAGCCTTTCCTTGGTGCCATGCAAACTCCGGGGTGGCAGTCTGCTTATGTCACCCTTTCCCTTGTCACTGAAAAGATGTGGCGCTAATGAAGCTGCTGATTAAAAGAAAGCCTGCAGGGTGCCCGAGGTGCTGGGCAGCGAGGAGAGCTCAGCGCGGGTTGTTGGTGCGCTCTGGTGGCCAGAAGCAGCCACTGCTGGCACTCACAGAGGGTTGCTCCTCCCTGATGCTGGCTCTGTTATCTACAACCTGGGATTGTCTGCCCATATATACCTGTGAATAAATGCTTTTTCACTTGGATTCATTTATTAAGAACAGGTCTGAAATGAAGGAGGTGCTTTCACTATGCTCGTTCTCCCTTTTTCTTCCTTTAAAAACTCCAGCCATGGCTGAATTTTGTGAATTTTCTAGCCCCTGCTAGGCAGATAGTGGAGGGTAATGTGCCTGCTGATGGAGCGTGGAGAGATGTAGTGGAGAGATTTTTCGTTAGGTGGGAATGTCCACTGTGCCCTTCTGGGCTTGGGGACACACAGGGGCAGCTGGGCAGGAGCCTTCCCAGAGCAGCCTGGATTTGGGAAGGATTTATAGCAGGCTTCCAAGAGAGCACTGCCACCCTGGGGGTGTCATTTGTTTTACAGAAAGTAAGTTTTGAGACAGGGATGTCCCTTTTGCCTTGGCATTGCTCTGTGTGGTGGTCCTGCAGGCATGCATCTCTGCAAGCATATAAATTCTCCCCAGGTCCAGAATTTGCTGGGTTAGTCTTTGCATTTTGGTGTGGAGTGTGGTGAACCTGTGCAGCCCCGGGTGGCAAATAGAGAGGATGATGGTTGCTTCAAGGGTGCTAGGGAGCGGGGAGCAGTCCTTTGAAGCAAAAGAAAACGTCAGTCAACTGCTTGTGTCTCTGTGCTCCTCCCTAGCACCTTCTAACACTCAATTTGTAAGTACTAGGATTAGAAAAAGAGCATGCACAGCACTAGGGCCTGCTGGAGCACCTGCACCTTCCTCTAATGCACGAGGGGCCTTGGGCCTGCTCTGGGCTGGGCAGCAGCCAAGGAGGAGGGAAAGGCTCTTCCTGGGCCAGCCGCTCTGCCACCAGTGTTCCCTGTCGCCCCGCAGGAAGCTCCGCTGGCACAGCTTCCAGAACTCCCACAGGCCCAGCTTGAACTCTGCCTCCCTGGAAATCAACCGCCAGTCGTCAGCTCAGCTCAACCTGCTTCAGAAATGCTCCCTGCTTCGTCTCACTGCCATCATGGAGAAATACTCTGTGCCTCACAAGCAAGCCTGGACGTGGTGAGCTAATGGGGAGGGAGAAATCTAGATGACGTGGGTGAGTGACAAGCATTGGGCTTCGACTCTGCCCGTGACATGCATGGAGCCGTATCTAGCACAGGTTCCTGAGGCCAGGGCAGAAGTGAGCTCTGTGCGTGGAGATGATGGAGAGGGAGGGGAAAGGGCTGAACAGAGACTCTCCTTGCTCTGCATGGCGACGAGTTTCCCCCGAAGTGTGGGCTGGGGGCTGCAGCCTGAGCTCCCAGCATTGGCTGCATCCAGGAGGGTTGGATGCAGATATCTGCAGAGGATTAAAAATGCTGCAGCAACATAAGAGAGTGAGGCATTGGTTTCCTATTGTAGCTAAGTGTTAAAACACGTTAATTAAAAGAAAAAAGATGTAGCACTTCCTGCTCAAATCTTGCCTTTCTTATATTCAGAACAAGGCAGAAGCCTCTCTGTGGGTGCGTGCATGCATGTTTCGCCTGATGTCCTTCTTGCTTCTGCGCAGTGATGCTGAGGGAGTTGTTTATGATACTACTAATGGTCTGTCTGTCCCACCCTCGCAGGACGGTGCCCAAGTTTATGAAGCGGAGTAAAGTCCCCGACTACAGGGACAAAATGGTCTTTGGGGTGCCGCCAATCATTAATGTGCAGAGGACAGGGCAGCCTCTGCCCCAGAGCATCCAGCAGGCGATGCGCTACATCCGCAGCCAGTGCCTGGACCAGGTGAGGGGCCACGTCTGCAATGCAGGAATGTACGCAGCCTTGGCCGACCCTTCTCCTAGGCAGCTGGGTGCCCTCAGGAAGCTGCTGAGAAATAGCACCATGATTTTTGGAACAAAGCTGGCTTTAAAGAGTGCTTTTTGTTCACCCTGTTGTAGACGTATCCATACAGCCATGTCTAGGTCTGTGCTGTAAGCCATGTGAGTGAAGTGACTGTTTTCTGTCACGGTGTATCTAGCCCAGACTGTACTGGCTCAACCCCAAGGCGCTGAGAGGAGGGGGGAATTGATTTGTCCCCAAAACAGTGTAACGCACCCTTGGTGCTGCCAGGCCATGGCATATACTGCTGCCCTGGTGATGGGAGTGTTGGCTTCCTGTGGGTGCTGGGGCAACAAGACTGCCCACTCGCCTCCGCTATGCAGGTTTAATGTTCGGGCTGCAAATTCTTCACACTGCGCTTCTCCTACCTGCCACAGGGGGTTATTTTCCATCGGAGACTCCTGCAGTGCTTGCTCTGGGTGGGGGGGAGGTCTCCTTTGCCTCTCTCCATAGTCACTCATCACCTCCAGCGTAGCTCCCTGCCCATGCAGGTCCCTGTGTAGACACCCCCTTTCCTTCCCTGCTGGACCTTTGACTCTTTCTGCTCCTGTTGTGTCCCAGGGCAGAGAGGGCATCCAGCTGTTTCGGAGGTGCTAGCAAAATTGGCAAGATGGTGGTGGTGTAGTGAGTGTTTGAGGAAGGTGTAACAGTGCTTGGTCATGGTGAAGGAGGAAGATGAGATTTTTCACTGGGAACTCCACATCCCACCAGTGTTTTCTCAGCCAGGCTTTCCTTCCAGGGTTGCTGAGAACTGAGGCTTTCTGGGGAAGGGGTTTCCTCGTATGTCAGAGGGGAGTCAGACCAGACAACTGGGTATTGTTGCCTTCTGCCAGGTGTCCAATGTCCGCTTTGCTTTTGAACACTAACCTGCTCTTCCTCTGGTAGGTTGGCATTTTCCGGAAGTCAGGAGTGAAGTCCCGGATTCAGGCACTCAGGCACATGAATGAAACCACCCCTGACAATGTCAACTACGACGGGCAGTCGGCCTATGACGTGGCTGACCTGCTGAAACAGTATTTCCGTGACCTACCAGAGCCCATCTTCACCAGCAAGCTCACAGACACCTTCTTGCAGATCTACCAGTGTAAGTGCTTCCCAGGAGCCATGCAGACCTCCTGGGGCTCGCAAGAGGGCCCAGGGTCAAAAGGGAGACATTTTAAGGCAGCAGATGCTTGTATAGGGCAGGTCAGCCACTGGGCTGCCAGGCCTGGGGTGGAGACCAGGGTCTCCCAGGGAAGAGGAGTCTCTGTTTTTGGCTCCCTGCTACATTCAGACAGAGGATGTGGGTAATTGGCTGATTTATTAGTTACCACCAGGTGATTTCCCAGGGGAGAGACCTCGCTGACCACATGTTTTTTCTCTGCACCATCAGTTGTGTCCAAGGAGCAGCGGCTGCAGGCTGTGCAGGCTGCCATTATCCTCATGCCCGACGAGAACCGGGAGGTGCTGCAGACACTACTATACTTCCTCAGTGACATTGCCTCTGCAGAGGAGAACCAGATGACTGCCGGAAACCTTGCGGTGTGTCTGGCCCCATCCATCTTCCACCTCAACGTGTCCAAGAAGGAAAGCACCTCGCCAAGGTAATGGTTAGACTAACTCTGGCCTTCACAGCCTTCCTACATCCCCTGTCTTCTCCTTTTGAAGCTCTCCTCATTGCCCCTTCCCTGTCCTGGGAACAGCAGTCCCTCCATATCAGGTGTTAAGGCATGGTGGGAACATGCCTGTTCTCAGCACAACCTCCTTTTTCTCTGCTCAGCAAAGCAAGGGGCTGGAGGCAGGGGGGAAGTCAGACTTTAATACTCCCCTCCTTGGTCCCAGCAACGTATGCTCTCTTTCACAGGATGATAAACAAGAGAGGCACCATGGGGAAGCCTGACCAGAAAGACCTGAATGAGAACATGGCTGCTACTCAAGGGCTCTCCCACATGATCACAGATTGCAAGAAGCTCTTCCAGGTGGGTGGCTGCAGCTCTTCCAGCCTGGCATTGCTCCCCATGGGCACTGCCAGCAGGAGATGTGATCTCACTGTGAGGTTGCTGATCTTGTGGGGGTCAGTGTGGGGTGACCTAAGGGCACCCCATCCTCAGGCCAGCAGCTACCACAGGTCAGTCAGCCTCAGGAGCAATGAAGGGTCAGTGAAGCCCAGCTTCACATTGTCTTGTGGCGATACAGGTCACAAACTGCAGGACATATGTTCAGAAAGGCTGCGTCCATCCCTCACTGCCCTCCTTGGCCAGATGAGGAGTTGCAGTATTCTAGCTATGCAGGACCGATAACAAAGTCCATCTCAGTGAGGATACCCAGTGATGCCCAGCATCAGGGAAATGCATAACTGGGCAGCTAATCACTGACCTGCTCTTAGGAGTATTTCTGTCTAGAACTTCCTCACTTAAATTCTGCAGCAGAATTACTGGCTCTTACTGCCTGTGGCCTCTGAGTTCAGGTCTGCAGATCTGGATCAGGTAACAGATCTATCTGGGTTTTTGAAGACCTGTATGTATTTGGTTTGTAGGTCTCCCATGACATCTTACTGCAGCTGAGCAGCTCCTATATGGCAGCAGATGCTTACCCACATCCCCTGACTGAAGTCATGTGTCAAGGGGAGGGCAAGGAGCTACACTCCTACTTTGAGCAGAGTGTCCAGAACTTGCTCAAAGAGTCATCAGAGAAATTCAAAGGCTGGCTGAGCACCCCGGGACCCCTGAACACAGAGCTCTCTTGCAAAAAGGTAAATGGTACTGTGGAGGGGTTGTTTGAGGTCACATGGGAAAATATATATGCCGTGACCACAGTGAACCACAGGTGCTGCAGGCAGTTGCTAATCTGCTAAGCATCCTGGTACTTGTTCTCTTCAGCAAGGTGGGAAAATCAGCAACCTATTCCCTGAACAGAGAGAGGATCTGCGAGCTAGATGGCTATGAGAGTTGGAGGGTGCTCTGTGTCCAGCAGTCTCAACAGAGACCCTGCTGTGTCATCATTACAAGATGAGCCGGTGTCCTGCACTTTTGGCCCTTTCTCCAGTGAGCCAGAGCAACTCTCTCAGCCCCTGCTCCACCCCCCCCCCAACTCTTCTCCCTTCCCACCCCAGGTCTGTCTAGAAAGTGCTGCTCACTAACCTGCAGATGTCATGGTACTGCTTCCTGGCAGTGGGAGCCATCAGTAAAGTTGCTAAAGGCTCAGTGTTATGGGGTGGGGGGTGGTTCCTGGCTGGGCAGCATCCCTGATCCCTCCCTGTTGCCCCGGCAGGTTGGGGATGGGCACCCTCTGCGTTTATGGAAAGTCTCCACGGACATTGAAGCACCTCCCTCTGCAGTGCTGCACCGAGTGCTTCGGGAACGTCACCTTTGGGATGAGGATCTGCTGCAGAGCAAAGTGGTGGAGGCCCTGGATAAGAATATGGAGGTTTATCACTATGTCACGGACAGCATGGCACCCCACCCACGCAGGGACTGTGTTGTGCTCAGGTGAGGGCAGAGCAGGACCAGATCTGGAGGTCCCTAGTCCCATTTATTCCTCTGTAATGTTTTTTACTGGTGGAGAGAGTGAGTGTGTGGCCAGCAGTCCTCATAACAAGTATGTGGAGAGAGAAGATGTCTTATTCCCACCCCCCCGGCCAGTGGACTATGCTTCTATGTTAAGGGTTTCTGTAGCCACTTGGTCTCATTTTGGTGGCTTCATACAGGTTCGTGATCTCTCCCACCTCCACATTCCCAGTGCACTCCATGTTGTGCAAACTCAGAGGCCCTTGCAGGGCTTGTCCAGCAGGGTGCATGCTTAACCTGTCTCCACTGGGTCTGGGAGCTGAGGTTGGCTTGTTCTCTTGTGCAGGCGCTGGTGCACAGACCTGCCCCGAGGAGCTTGCCTGCTCATCTCCATGTCAGTGGAACATGATAAGCTGCAAGTGGAAGGAGGCGTCAAAGCCGTTGTGTTGACGTCTCAGTATCTCATCGAGCCGAGTGGGATGGGCCGCTCCAAAGTGACGCACATCTGCAGAGCTGATCTCAGGTAATGGGAAACCCTTTGCTTGCCTGCAGTTCCTGCACACACTTGCTGATCCAGTGTCAGCAACCCGAGAGTTTGCTCGTGTACCGAGTGGTGATGGGGGAGACGCAGAAGATCCTTGTTCCTCTGCATGCTTACCCTGGCAGGACGGGCAGGTATTACAGCTTGTGAGGACACTGCCTGCCCTGCCCTCTGGCTTTTCAGCCTGATTACCCATATGGAAGAAGTTGCTGCTCTGAGGCCAGTTTTTAGGGCTGCCAGCTAGTTATTTGGAAAGGAGCCACCAGCTCAGCTTTAGCCCATGTTGTTACTGCTGGCAGTTCCCCCGGTCAGGCACAACGCTCTATATGCGGTAGTAAGTCTTCTAATGTTTCTCTAGAAAACATGAGTTCCGCCACAGGCCTGAAACATGGCATTAGCTCTTTCTTTTCTGTGTCAAACTGTGCTTCAGTGTAACAGCATAAGGGCGGGTTGCTGCAAGGGACAATCTGTTCATCACTGTGGATTGGAGTAAGCCTGGTTGTTTCTTGGATGTTCCTTTGTTTTGCTGCAGGCATGCATTGAGGAATGGGGAAAAGCATATTCCCTTTCCTATCATATATTGCATGTTCATCATCTCGTAGTCCGTCCCATTAGGAACTATGCTGACTGTCCCTGAGCCAGAAATGATGTGCTGCTCTTTGGTACTTGCCAGCAGTTTCTTCTGCCTGCTCATCTCGGCTTTTGCATTATTCTCCTGTCCAGGGGACGGTCTCCAGAGTGGTACAACAAGGTCTTTGGACATCTTTGTGCCATGGAGCTGGCAAGGATCCGAGATTCTTTCCCAGCGTTGAGTCTGAATGGCCCTGAGACAAAGATCTGAGGAGCCTGGAAGATGGACTGTCCTATTTGATCATGGACCTTTCCAGTTGATTTGGGCTGGACCATTCAGAGGGAAGCGAGGAGTTGGCAACCTGTTGGCATCCGATTGTGGAGGGGGAGACAGAGGATGGTGCACTCTCAGGCACATATTTATAAGCGTCCTTTTTTACCTAGGCCTGGCCACCCCCACCCCTCTGAAGGAGCCACTGGATGTCTCTAGCTAGGCATAATCCCTTTCTTCTCCCACTCCAGGGCTCTTTACCATCATCCCTGGGAGGCAGTCCCCTTCAAGGGGGCAGGAGAAGCCATCCCCAGCCATCATTCCCATTCCCACAATACCTGTTGCTGCTTAAGATGCCTCTTCCTCATGTGCTCTGAAGAGCAGGTTCCCTGCAGGGGCAAAGCCATGCACAGCTTGGTCTTTGCAGGAGGGGGAGGGTCTTGCGAGCAGCAGTTTGCTTGCCCATGGGAAAGAGAAGGGGTTTGGGAGTGAAGCCCCACAAGAAAGGCAGGCTGAGCTGTGAAGTGGCTAGACTGGGTTTAGCTGCATTTCTCACTCCTCCAGGTATTAGCAGGAGCTCGCCCCGTTTGGGAGCAGCTGCAAAGGTGAAGGTGCTTGAAGCGAACCAGGATTAAGTGGTGGTGTAGGCGTACTGAGCAAGGGACGCACAGTGCCATGGCTGTAGGTTGTAGCACTGTGTCAGGAAGTGAAGGGTGGGCAGAGAGGGGGGGGAAGGTGTGTGTGCTGGGGTGGGGGGGGGGCAGTGTGTCACCCTGACAGTGGGACATGCAGGAAATCATTTAGACTGAGAGCTTGCTATAGGATGCTATTATTGGAGGAGAGGGGCTATATATAGATATCTATATATCCATTTAACGACAGCCATTGTTGAGTAGCAGAAGGAAGGAACCTACTGCTGTCTTTGGTGCTGAATTTCATAGGAGCAGAAGCAGCTCTCCAATCCAGTGCCTTGTTCTTACTCAACTAAAGGCCTCCTTTGTGCCCTGGGTTTCAGTGGTGAGCTGCATGGATGATGCTCCAAGCCATGGCTACATGGGGGGAGGGGGAGGGTCAAGTCCCAACCCTTGAAACCAGCCAGTTTTTTGAAGACCACCAGTCTTTTGAAGGGGGCAGGGGCTGGGACTAGGCTAGAAATTCAGGGGAATTGCCCTTAAAGCTGCCTGTAAGCTGGCAAAGGAGGCTAGTGACCTACCTAAAGCAATGAGAAGGAGCACATTGGCAGGACAAGATGAGACCAGCTGCAGCAGTGTCTGTTTCTTAATGCAGTTGAGGGTTCAAGCTGTACCACAGGGAAGCACGCTGTTGTTTTGCAGGAGGGCTCAAAGCTTGGCCAAGGCCGCGAGCGCGCAGAAGGTTTGTTCTCATCCTGTCTAACTGTACAGTGCCTGCTTCCATTAAGCAAGCAAAGCCTGATCACCCAAGCTGGGCTGAGTGCATGCCAGGTGGTAGCAACAAACTTAATCCAGTTCACACTCACTGCAGTGAGATGATGTGTTTTATATATGAGACTTGCCCTGGCTTTTCACCTCTTTGGGCAACTATGGAGAGCAGAGCTCCTGCCCCTCTTGCGTGCAGAGCTTTCTCCCTAACTTTATCGCATAGCCTCAGCACTCTTGGCAGAGAGTTAGTCCCCCTCCCCCCCCTTCCTGTCCCTTTCTTTCCTCCAAGCTGAGAAACAGCCTGACTTAACTAATAGCATCTGGGAACTGACCTGGTTTCTCCTTTTAGGCAGGGACCCAACTTACTAGACATTGTTCCAACTGGAAGGCAACACAACCCATGCACAGGAGCAATTCACAATGGCAGTTTTACTGTAACAAATCATCTCGCTCTTTTATGGTGAAAAAAACCAAACTAGCCTCTGTTTGGTGTGGTTTTTTTTTTTATATATATATAATTTTATATATATATAAAAATATAACTAACGTTTGGGGGAGTGATTTTTCTCCTAATATTTTTTTAAATATTTCCTTTTTTTTCTATCTATAAATACTTGTACAGTTGGAATATTAATATATAACTCAGGCGGTAGAGCTCAGCGCCAGGTGATGTTCACTTAAAAAAAAAAAAACATGTATTTTGTATTTAAGGGTTTTTTTTGTTTTGTATCATATGCAACTGCAACAGATTGTTTGACTTGGACTGGGGGGGCTGCTCTTCCCATCCGTGTAATTAATAAAGTACTAACGCTATCTGCTGGCTGATGAGGCAACCTTCATGGCTAGTGACTGCCACTGTCTGATTCCTTCCAACACAGAAGTGTTACAGAACTGAGTAATGTACTTTTGTGGTGCTCTGGGATTGTTTTCTGAAGCCATCTGGCCACATGTCTCTGGTGTCGCAGAATGAGCCCAGCAAAGTAATTTGACAGCAAGTATAAAGCATAAGGCAGAACAGGAGATGAGCCTTCCAGAAGGGTCCAGGCAGCAGAGGCGGAAGGCAAGAGGGATGCTTGCCTGGTGCTGCCCAGCAGTAGGCATACACATATGCCCCTGTCCCTGGAGCCAGCAGCAACTTCTGCAGGTACGCAAGGTCTGCCTCACTCATGTTATTCTACCAGTCTGCATGCAGGATGGAGGCAGGGCTGGGCTCTCCTCTCGCTTGCTGCCCAGCTCAGCAGTATGCACAACAGCAACCACCGAGCAGAGGGACTCAAGAAGCTCAAGCATGGCCTTACCTGTGGCTCCACGTGGCTTTGTCTTTGGCTGTAGCTCTCAGCAGGGAGGCAGGCAACTGCTAACCTTTTCCAGGTTTTTGCCTCCTCCTTGGCAAGGCGAGAGGAAAACCTTCAATTCGTTCCTAGCAGCCAGACTTCCCGATAATAAGGACTGCTCGCCTGAAGCTCCCAACCCCTTGCAACAATCCTTCCCCTTGAAGGGGCTGCCAGTTCTTCCCAAGACCATTGCAGCAGCTGTCCCTGCACCGGGCTGCTAGATTAAAGACACCAAGAGCTGCAGAAGACATGCAAGAGGGAAAGGGAGACTGCTCTCATCTACACACCTTGAAGAACTACCTTGTGAGTCATTGTTGCTGTACCTCGGCTCAATGCCTCCCACCCGGTAAAGGGGTGTCTGAGATGAAGATAAGATGCTGAAGGAGAGATGCTGTTGTTATCCAAGGTAGTGGTGATAGGTAAAGCCAGCCAGTGTGCCCCTGCAGCAAGACAGCTGTGGTCTGGAGAGACTTGTACATCCTCATGCTGCTGACTTGCTGCTGGGTACTGTCAGGCACTGCTGGCCTGTGTTGTCACCAGAGTAAAGCTCTTCCGGGACTCCTGCAGCTCCAACTGCTTTGTCTGCAAACACCCCTTGACCTTTTCCTGGAAGGAGGTAGTGGTGATGGTGTAGAGGATGGGATTCAGGGCACTGTTGATTGGCAGGATGAAAATGACCACCCAAGAGGTGATGGTACCTGTTTCAACAAGGAAACGACGTTAGGAAGCCTGGTGGGTGGCTACCCCCTGCTCAGGGAATAACTTGCTCAGCTGCTTTAGCCTGTGCAGTGAAGTGGAGGATGATCTCCTCGGAGTAGCAAGGAGAGTTTGACTTAGAGTCTGACTGCCCAAGGGAAGTCACAAATGTCACTATACAGGGCGAGGCAGGGGCCCAAGACTTGGCATGGGAAATGGATAAAGCTCACCATCTCCCCTCAGAGCCCATGTGTGAGAAAAGAGATCCAAGTCCAGCAGCACTTATGTCAAGTGGCCTGGGTCCCAACCCACGGACTTGTGGCAGGCAGCAGCCAGCCACAGCCAGGCAGCAGTGAGCTCTAATTAAGGGTGGGGGCGTGGGGGGGGGGGGGGGGGAAGGGAGCACCTGGTATTTCCACCTGGAGCAGGGAAAGCAACTTGAGGAGGAATATGGGTATCCAGCAGAGAGCATCAGTGAAGACAATGAAGAAGAACCGCTTTGCGATGGCAACTTCCCGGGAGTAGACGCTTCTTTCCGCTGTTTTGGATGCAGTGATGTGGATGGAGTAGAACATGCTAGTGTAGGCAAAGACTATGGTGATGAACGCCACGAGATTCAAGCCTGGAGAGGAAAAAGCCTTGCTTGTAGCACGTCCAAAGTGTAAAGCACGCGTGTGCTTACCAGCGGTGTCTGTACCGGGGCTAGTCCCACTTTCTATCACTAGAGGGGGCAGAGACATTTCAGCAACTGTAGCCAGTCTAAAATCAGGCACGGTACTCTAACACAGCGATGCACGCGCCCCATGGCCAGACGGGTGTGGGTGGGCGAGGGACCATGCACAGCACCTGGGCTGGCGCAAGGAGCCTCACTGCTCTGCTGCTCCCTGTACAAGGGCCATCTCTGGCTAGCGTCTTGCGTGTCTCCTCCTCGTCCTGTGTCTCTGTTGCCTGCCCAAGCTGTGCTAATGCATTGCACAGTGCGGCAGCACCTGAGCCCTGCTTTGCGTGGGCCTGGGAAGGAGGGCAGAGCCAACACCCTCGTTGTACAGAGTGGAGCTGGCAGGACAGAGGCCCAGACACATGAATGTGCTAGGATCCCAGCAGGACTAGAGAGGCCTGATGCCCTTTGATGAAACCAGTAATACAGGCAATATAGACTCTTGTTGCTGAAAGAGAAGTGGCTGGTGAGACTATCTGGGCTCATACTGACAGGACTGAGAAGCCCCACTCCCACCAGGGAAGCCCATTCTGCCCTACAGCACCACTGTCCCCAGCTGCTGGGTCCCAGATCCAGAGGCAGCCTTACCCAGGTAGATCCCAGTGGAGTAGCCCCTGGCGCTGGGCCTCTCACTCACGTCGGACTGCAATGGGAAACACACCCCATTCCTCCCATAGTAGTTGCCAAAGGAGTCCTTGCACCACAAGGGGACGATGCTGAGAGATAAGCCCAGAAGCCAGATGATTACCAGCATAGAGATGGTCTGTTTCTTGCCAGCTCTGTAGTGGCTGAATGGGAAAACAATGGAGAAGTATTTCTCCAGGGTCACATATGTGAGCAGCAAGACTGACACCTCGGAGGACAGCATGGCCAGGCTGCCCACGAGCTGGCACTGGAGGCTGGCCATCCACACCTGGGCGTGCTTGTTGTATTCGCCTGAGTATTTGAGGTCAAAGGCGCCAATGACAAAGAGGTAGATGCCCATGAGGCAGTCTGCACCTGGGATGGAGGCAAGAAACAATAAGAAAAAAGCACCAATGTCCAAATTTAGCCCTTTGCCATGGCCATAAAGCCATCATAGAGCTGTTGTGAAAAGGTGGGTAACCTTTGTCTTTATATGTGTGTGTGTGTATATATATATTTATATATTCTCTAAAAGAGTTGCCTGCTGATGGCACTGGTATCTGGAAGCATGGCCCTGAAGGCAGGAGCCCACACGCACAAGGCACAAATAGCAAGAAACACATATGGCATCAGCATAAAAAGAAAGGCAGGCAGCAAAGGGTCCCTAGATGTGTTTGGGGGGGATAATATGAACTAGACAGCTGTGTCTGTCCTTGCCCTGGAAAAAGAACAGCCCAGTGGGGCAGGCTGGTGTGTGCTGGATGGCGCATCTGCATCTGCTCCTTCGTGCTCCTCCCCTCCCCCCCTCCCCGAATGGTCCCTGGCCCACCACCTCCCAACTCACAGCACAGGGACTTGATGGCCATGGTGTGCTCGCTGTTCTCTGTGACAATGAAGGACCGCATGCAGATGACAAAGAGGTTCCCAAAACAGGTTATGCAGGCGATAACCCAGACGAAGACCCGCAGGATGATGTTGGCGAGGAGGTTCTCAAAGGAGGAGATGCCGTCCGTGTTGGGCTTGCAACTGCGCACGTGGGGCGCGTAGCTGCAGTACTGAAACTTCTTGAAGTAGCTGCCAGGGAGGAAGGTTTCCCTGTTGCAGGTTGGCAGCCAGGAGAGGGCCCCTAGGGCTGCGGCTGGGCACAAGCACAGCCCCAGGCCCCACGTTGCCCCATCTCTGTGGGCAAGGGCCAGATGAACCCCAGCATCACTAGCCAAAAGCCTGGTGACTTGCAAAGCCCGGGGATGAGGTGAAGGTTAAAGGGAGGAAGAAGGCAGACAACCATGCTAGGCGCTGAGGACGCAGGGGAGAGCCCAGCCCAGCTCTGCGCTTCGCAAGCACCGTTTGCAGTAACAACCCTGAGGACGGGGAGGACTGCACAGAACACAGAGAGTGACCGTGCTGAGCACGAGGTCTCACAGTTTGTGCAGTATGGCAACTAGTTTCAGACACTAGATCAGCAACATCATGAAGCATTTGCAAAACAGGCAGGAGGCACCCCAATGCTTGCTTTCTTCAATGAAGTACAACACAGCAATGCACTTAAACCTGTCACTGCTCAGCACTTTCAAGTAATAAACGCAAGGGTGTTTTCCTCTGACCTGTGATTACCACAAAAAACATTTCAGAGTCAATCCATTTTTCAAATCTTTCAAGTTCCATTAACAGAGATTCACATTTTCCCCTGCATATTATTTTAGATTAATATTTTCAAGCTTTATAAAAGCAATCCCATATAAGCTTAGCAAAACTCTACATTAGAAAATAACTACAGAACTGCAATGCAAAGCTCATTTCTGCTTAATTATAGATAAAAGGAGAGAAAATGATTGCTTATTAGCAAGTCAGGTAGAAAACGTACTGTATTTATAGTCCAAACAGACCAATTACAGAAAGGAAGATGTACAGTCATCTTTCATTACAGGTACTCTAAAACGTGCATCTGGAGAAAATCAATGCTTTTTTTTTTTTTTTTTTTTTCTTTCCAAAGAAAAGCCAAAGCAGTTGCAGCTGGCTCTTTGGCCATATTTTCACCGTGCCGGTGACGCCTGTCCAGCCTGTCTATCTACATACACATCACTAGCGTTCTTAGGTCATTATCCCGGAGCACAAGCAAAAGGACCTCTAATGGGATTATTTAACCACAGTTTTCAGCACGTTGCTTAGGGTCTGTGCACGTCAGCCTGAAACAATCTCTCTTTTCCAGATCACCTATGTAATATCCCTGTTCAAAAAAACACAGGTCGTTCTTTATCTCACAAATGCTTCTAGATGGGGCGTTTATGGCTCTGCAAATTTTTCTCTTAACATAGGTTAAACGTTCCCATTGCTCTAAATAAGTCCTAGCTGGGTGAGGACCTCTTGCCAGGGAGTGGTTTAAGCAGTATAGATGGACAGAGCCGGTGTCCCTCCCTTGCCCCCTGCATTTCCCAGCGCGGGGGGGGGAACTGCCCAGGAGTGTCCGGCACCCCAGCCCAGCACTCACATGTGGGAGAGGTTGGTGAGCTTCTGCAAGGTCACGTTGCGGATGTTGGGGATCTCCAGCCCTTCCAAGCTCCTGCGAAACAAGACCAGCGTGACGGAGGCTGAGCTGCGTCGGCTGCCCTGGTGCGGGAGGCTGCTGCAGGCGCCTCGGCCAAGGCTGAGCCTGGGGTGAGGGACGTGGTGGCACTCACAGGGACCGCAGCTGGGGCAGGCTTTCAAACTGGCCTGGGAAGATCTGTTTCAAGGGGTTGTAGGAAATATTCCTGAAAAAAGAGAGATGTGTCTCATGTTTTTTTCCATGCAGAAGCTGCCCCACCCGTGAAAAGCGGGGGCAGAGGGGTGTCTTTCCAACACTCCCCTTTGCTCTGGGAGGGGCTGGAGCAGGGCCGCCGGCTTTGCCCACGTACTCACAGCTGCTGGAGGCCCACCAGGCCCTGGAAGAGAGATGGTGGCAGCTCGCCCAGGCTGTTGGCCGACAGGTCTCTGCGCGGAGAAG